TGGCTCATTACAGCATCCTGATTGGTTATGATGGAAGGAGCGAAAAAGGTGCAAGTTGCAGCCAGAAAGTAATATTTAGGGCAGTTCAGATTAATGTATATTTTTTTGCGATAAGTCAAATCTTTTTTAGTATAAATGTGAGATGCTGAAAGATAGTATAGCCCACTTAGAGGAGATAGAACTTTGGGGGTTTGAAAAGAGCCCAACTAAACAAAAGAACAATTGAAACTGACATCACCCTCCAAATGTATTGGTTACCTATATGAAGAAGGGAAAGTACAACTTTAAAGTATTAATAAACTAAGGAATATCAAATAACAAAATATTATATTTGGTTGTTGCAGGATTATAGCGGCCCATGCTGCTAATATGTTGTACAGTCCTTTGTCTATAGCGCAGTGAGTCTAGTCTTTTCCTATAATATTTAAAAAGGTTCAACCGTGCAGATAGAAGAATCCTCTTCGATTGACTGAGAATGTATGGTGTGAGAGGAGAATGTATCCCTGTGAAAGGAGAATGTATGTGTGTAAGAGGAGTATGTATGCATGTAAGAGGAGAATGGAAGCATGTGAGAGGAGAATGTATGCTTGTGAGAGGAGAATATATGCATGTGAGAGGAGAGTGTTTGTGTATAAGGAGAATGCATAGGCATGAAAGGAGAATGGATTTTTGTGAGAGAAAAAATATCGCTTTATGAAAGATAAAATATATGTATATGACTGTGTCAGTATGATTTATGGCTTGTATTGTCCCTCAGTGTTTTAGACAATTTACATGACATTGTGCTCTTAAGAAAAGGAATTTAGGACGTTTAGATGAGGCCCTCAGCACCACAGTTCATTCATATTTAGCAGTTTGCATTAAGTACTTTGCATTAAATATTTTTCAATATTCACTCCACTTTTTAAGATCCACTCCTTAAATCCTTTAGCAGTGCTGATGCCAAAATGCTTAGAAAGCACACAGTTCCCACTATAGCTTCAGTTGGGTTTAGCAAACTTTACAAATTTAACTTTATCATTGTTGGCCTGCCCAAAAACAGTGGGTTGATACCATAATACAGTGATACTGTAGCCTATAGTGGTCATTATGTTGACTACATTATATTACTTTTTGCTTTATTCACATTTTTTTTGGAGTTTCTTTTCTTCCTAAAAATTCTACTCCAGCCCCGAGTTAACGGTTGGTTATTTCTACATTTTCAATGAAAAATGTATTACTGCAAAGAAAAAAGAAAAGTTGTTTTCTTTCTACACATTTTACCCCTGGTACCAATCAATATGGAATATGCTGTATTTGCATAGAGTTAAGACTTATAAAGAAGACTAATCATGCCATAATAAGCCACATGCAGATTAATAATCTGCCTGCTGTTTGCTGATGTTGACCTGGAAGAGGAATACGTTGGATCAAATGTAGTCTATAGGAGTTTCTAAGAAAATGTGGGTGGGATAGGGTGCATGGCAATACCGTTAACGGGAGCAGTTTCCATAGAAACAGCTCATTAGGAGGCAGTTTGAGCTGTTTGATACCGTCCATGATTAAAGGACTTGCTGGGGAGGGAATGAGCATGACGGAAAGAGATGGAAATCATCAATAAAGATTGACAGAGAGCAAAAACAGGAGAATGAGAAGAGAAACTAAAGCTTAGGGAGTGATGAAAGAAAGTCAAATGGCTTTGCTAAAGGTGTTCCTTCTCATGTAGAGTGCTCTGCATCTTAGGGAGTACTAAATTAAAAGGCTTGAAGTCAGAATACATAGTTGAAGGGCAGCGAGAGCCACCTTGAATGCCTCTTTCATCATTGCCAATGGATGAAACCTCTCTCAAAGGTTGCGGAAAATCGCAACAAGTCATCTAATCACAGAGGTATTCTGCCTTGTGGCAAACTGGGCTCCACTGGGGACTTGGTTGCAAATGTCCCCTTTTTTTCCCCACTTAGAGTGAGCTGTCTTCCCTCTTCACACACCCTACCACTATGCCTTTCCTTCGCCTTTTTGTGTTCCCACCCTGCAGCAAACAGAGAGTCATGAGTGCCATGTCATCCAGTGAATGTGTAACGTCAGGCCCAGGGCTGTCTTGGCCAGGCTGTCCTCGTTTGCAGTCTCACATTGAGGATTACTTCAACCTTCCACCCTGACTGTACAAGGAGAATGTTTTTGTAGGAGTTGCATTAAAGCTTACGCCTAAGGTAGTGATTAACTACGACAAGCTTCTGTTGTCCTCAGTTACAGTGGGGTTCTTGATTTGGTCTTTTCAAGTGTTTTAGTGAAATATTTTAAATGTAAGTATGTGTTGATATGTATTTGTAGGATCTATGTGTAGCAGATTGACTGGATCTGTTAAAAGAAATAGAAATAGCGAAAATATGGAAACAGTTATGGTGATGGCCATAACAAGCTTCAGATATACAGTATATATTGCTGCTGCAGCTTTTTTGACATCCTAATGATCAGCTCTCACAGTTAATTATCAAACCTCATTTAAAGAGTGTTGTTTCACATGTGAAAGTTAAAAAGTATTAAAATATGTTTTTTGAGCTTAACATTGTTAGTACGATTACAATCTTGAAACCTAACAAACTCATGCTGACTTGTACATCTCTTCAATGTGAGGCAATCCTTTGATTTACCGTCACTATCTTGTCGAGATCCCAAACCCTGTCTGTCAAATGTTTCACGCACAGACATGACCGCTCCGTACTTTGAAAATCCTTTTGGTCAGAACCCCCCAATTTTCAGAACAAATACATGGGAAAAGACTGACGTTTGAAAAGATTCTGTGCAACGGACTCAATCAGGAATAAATGCAATTTGGACGCTTACAGAAAACAAGAATCATAAAGCCATGTTGAACTGTGGTGTCATCATTTTTGAATGAAAAGTTAGATTTTTTTTTATTTCTAGTTCTATTTTTGGATACCATGTCAGCATATAGTTCTAAGTGGAAAGACATTAAAATGCCTCCAATTGGTTTAAACCCAAAGCTGATGGTGGATGTCAAAGTAATAGCATGTTTAAATCTTAATCAGCTCAGTGGGCCCACATTTATGGTAAACCCAAGCAGTACATTTTGTTTGTACTCCCACACACTTGGCTGTCTTAAATGAAGCCACACGGTGCAGATGGTATAAACCTTTGGGGGCAGAATCAGCCTCCAGCAAGTGTCCTCAATGATTTTCTGTAACATGAAAGATACATAATGCAGCTCAGAAGGAACAACTGGGGCAGGGGTGTGTGGTGGAGGGTCTGACTGTCTGTAAATGAATGCACTCACAAACCCACACGTCACACATTCTCACAGACTGTCTCTGAGATGAGTAGCAGATGTCATCCTCTTGTTTTTTCTCATCCCCATCCCACTCCATACAATGTGTCCCACTTTATGTGAGAAATCATCAAACAACTATTTCCTTCACACATGTCATTGTGAGTGTGGATGTTTGAACTCTTCTGTTTCCACTTCTCTGAGCTTTGTGCCTTAAAAGGAAGTAATTACTTGAAAGCTTGTGGAACTTTGGTTCTCAGCTCAGTGTTTTGAATTTAATTGTTAAGAATAAAGTTAAGGGATGATCTTTTATAAACATTTTATCCAATGTCGATACCAATATGGCTGTTATGACTGTTTATCGTTATTACATGCATTTCCCCAACCTTTCAACATTTTGTAAAAAGAAAAAAAAAAACCTTCACAATTTCTTCTCTTTTTCAATTGTACACCCTTCAATCATTTTGTTACATCACTACCGTTGTCACAGCAATTTAAAAACAAGAACAAGATGGAAATTAAAATCGGTTAATATATCAGTCTAATGGGCCCATACAGATGTGGAAGAGAGCAGCGTTATCATTGGCTGATATAAGTGTCAATACTGATTGATCTCTAAATTTTTAACTATTTATCAGTATTTATTATTTATCGATTAAGATTGACTGATTAATGTTGATAATTAGATTTATGCTGCTAGTTTCGTTCTTAGTGAATTACCTTCTAACTGTTCAAATAAAGTTGACTTTTACCTCATTTGAAAAAAAAAAGATTATTATTGATAATGCGACAGTGGCGTTGGATGTAGGAGTTTGCCCTGAAATCGAAGGGTTGATGGTTCAAGCCCCGACTCCGACTTTCAGTGTCGTTGTGTCCTTGGGCAAGACACTTCACCTGCATTGTATGGCAGCCCCGCTTCTGTCAGTGAGCCCCAGGGCAGCTGTGGCTACAATGTAGCTTGCCACCATCAGTGTGTAAGTGTGTGCGTGAATGGGTGAATGAATGTAGTGTAAAGCGCTTTGGTCAAGTCTCCTGACTTGAATAAAGGCGCTATATAAGTACATGCCATTTACCATAATAGTAATGAATTTGTGCACAATAATCACAATACTAAATTTAATACGCTATATGTCTAATCTGTACTAAAAGCCAAAGAAAATATTCTAAATAAAATTTGTACTCAATTGTATTCTTAAATCAGATAGTAGTCTCTATATTAGGGGTTTCGAACTCTAGTCTTTGAGGTCTGGTATCCCTTATCTAAAACACTTGAATTCACATTGGAGAAATTCACCTCTGTATTTTAACCATCTCTTTGGGGAGCAGTGGGCTGCCATCGTGGGCCCCCAGGGGAGCAGTGTTGGGTTAATGGTTTTGCTCAGGAACCCAGAGTGGCAGTCTGTGGGAGTGGGGCTCGAACTCAAAACCTTAGGATTCCAAGCTCTATGCCCTAAACCACTAGGCCTCCACTCCCCTACAATCACTCTAATTCACCTCTTTAGAATACAGTCAAGGTCTCCAGAGTATGATCCACACTCCAGAGTTCTCTAGATCCATATGATACAGTGGTTAAGAAATGAATTATTTGGTGATGATTAGCAGTTTGATCATTAAATTTGCCCTATCTTGTTAGACTTCTAACATAGCTAAATTATGTTATTTAAGAAATGTTCCTGAACTGCAATCAATTTTTTGTCTTGAATGCTTTGTTTTTCCTTGCTTGTGGGTGACTCAGGTGTGACCATGAAACTGATGGATGAGGTTGCTGGAATTGTGGCCGCTCGACACTGCAACACAAACATCGTCACCGCTTCTGTTGATGCCATTAACTTTCATCGCAAGATTAAAAAAGGTAAGGGTAGCCTGGAGAAAGCACATGAAATGGTAGAGTAATGCTTATTTAAGTTCCAGTGGTAAATTCATCTACTTTATCTGGATTTTAAATGTTCAGCCTTTACTTTGGATCAACTGAACAGGTAGAGTTAATAATTTTCCTTTTGATATTCTACGAAGAAAAATATAACTTCCCATTTAGCATTTAAACAAGTGCTTGTGATTTTTCAACTCTGTTGAGAATTGAGAAGTGTCTACATATAAAGAGCTCGCCTTGAACGAGAATCTAAAAAAGGCACATATTCGCATTAGCAGTGGAGTCATTTGTGGAAACAACCACTTGGGATGATTTTGTCAGAAGCTTGGCATTCAAACCAGGGCTGAAACAATCATTGGATTAATCGTGATTAATCGATTATTGAAATAATCGTCAACTATCTTAGTAAACAATCGATCGTTAACTGGAGTATAGTGACTATAAAATATGCCCTTACCTAACAGATCAACCCACTTAGAGCAGCAATTATACCAAAATTGTAAAAATATGCTTAATTATTTTACATTTAAGATAAAAAAAATGTTTTCGTCTGTCAGCACTGGTTTAATTTCATAAAATGTCTTGTTTAAGGAACCTTTAGATTTATCAAAAAAAAAAAAATCAACAGATTAATCAATTTGCTAAATAATTGTTAGTTGCAACCCTAGTTCAAACAACCTGCAACCAGTTTAGGGTGCTTTGGTGTGGTGTATTGCAATAATCCAGATATGATGAAACGGAAGAATGAATTATTAGCATGAATCATTGTTTTCAGCATAGGACCAGGGGCAAAGGATCTAAGTTTGGTTAAAGTCCTTTTATAATCTATACAATCCTGCATGTTAGTGAGTCTTACACTGCAAAAAAAATGAAATCTAAATAAGTATTTGTTTTTCTTAAAATAAGTCAGTTTTTTCTTTCATTTAGTAGTCAAGTCAGACATTTTGCCAATGGAACAAGATAATTTATATTTAAAACAAGAAAAAAAACAATTACATTGTTTTATTTCAAGTGCATATTATGTAATTATCTTATTTTAACAGTAAAATACGAATTCCATTGGCAAATCATCTTATTTACCAACTCAAATTAAGGGTAAATTAGGGTAACTTTTTACTATTTCTAGATAGTTTTTGCAGTGTGGATTTGAACAAATAAAAGGATCAGTCATCATAACTATGTAGAGGACACACAGCTTTACATGATAATGTCATCAGGTGATTATGAATCCATTAGAGTGTTGCATTAGAACAGATCAATATGTGGCTATGTCAGAATTTTTTCCAGCTGAATAAAAACAAAACAGAGGTAATAACCTTCAGACCAAAGCAGGAGAGACCCAGAGTTAGCTCCGCTACTACAGCTATAAACCATTGATCATGGCTGTGTCATGATGGACTCAGACCTGAACCTTTAGATGCACATAAAGGAGTCACTAAATCAGCCTTTTATCAGCTGAAGAACATTTCCAGGACTAAAGGACTAATGTCCAAGCTGGAGCTACAAAAGCTCATTCATGTATTTATCTTTAGTAGAACTGATTACTGCAACAGTGTCTTCATACAGTAGGTTAGCCTAAAACGTCCATCAGAAAGCTGCAACTGATCTATGAAAGAATAATAAAAATGATAATAATAGATCAAAAGTTTTTCAGCATTGAGGTTCTTTTTACAGGATAAAACTTTTATTTTTGTTCTGTATGGAATAATTATCCAGACATCCAGTACGAATGTTCAGATGTTATGATCCCCCAGGATAAGATGTTAACAATAGACTAGCTTCATCTCTATTTGTTGTTGAATTATGAAGTGGAAAGAAAATGTCACAGCTCAGCACGACTGTGCCAGCTCAGCTCTGCATTTACAGTACACTTGTTTTCAAATACGGGCAACTTCATTCAAGCAGGATAATTCTCTAGGTTCATTCGGTTTGTCTATAGAGGTTTAAATATTTAGGAGCTGTGGTACATATGGCTTGAGATATTAAAAACATTTAAGAGAGGGAAAGGCTCAAGCTTAAGGGTTAGAATAATAATAAAATGGTTCAGTACCTATATTCTTCATTACCTCTTCATTATTGTTTTCTATAACCTTATGTTATAGAAAACAATGATGAAACAATTAAAAGATAAAAACCTGATTATTAGATTGTTAAAAATGCTCATGCATTGCCTTTATATGGTCTTAGATGTGACTATGTTGCTACAGTGAAAAAATGTACCGTCAAATAACATTAATAACCTCTGCCAAGGAGGTCATGTTTTTAGGTAAGTTTGTTTGTTTGACTGTCTGTGTCCAGGATAACTTGAAAATTTATGAACAGAATTTAATTAAATTTTTACCAAAGGTGCACATCAGTCCAAGGAACGATCCATTACATTTTGTGATTATACACATCATAATCGGATGAAGGAATCTTTTAAAGAATTCTTTAACATTATTTGGCGGCATCTAGGGAAAATGTAGGAAGTGTGAAATATTGATATTTTCAGTCATTTTATTTCACTTTGTCGGTTTGAATATCTGTGAACACATCTTTGAACAAAGTGTTGATTCTGTTGAAAAGGATATGTTATAAAGAATAATGTTGGGAATTTGCACTCATATTTAAGTAAATCTGCTTTGTTAAGCAACCCTTACATGTACTTTATTATAAGTATTTAGAAAAATATACTAAATTAAAAGCCTTTACAGAACAATGTATTGGACTTAACCTGTGTATTAGTCCTGGAGAAAAACCTTATACTCCTATTATTAATACTAAGGCTAATAGTGATGTTGATAGATACTTGCGCTGCCATAAAGAAATAAAACACAGCTAGGGGTAGATTAATTATCTGTAACTTGATAAATTTGCAACAATTTACTTCTCATTTCATGCATAGATTTAATTGGTGTTGTTCTGTCACACACCTCATTTGTGGATTATTTTCTGCCTTTTCTGCTTATGTTCTGTTTACTGTAGTTCAGCACGTCCTCTGAGTCCTGTTATATTAGACAAGTCTAAGAATATGCAGATGGTGTGCCACTGAACGGTTCTTTTCATTCCTTTTTTTATTCAACAGTGCATTGCTTTTGCAGTTTAAAATAACATGCAGTTTTTTTTTTACATCTTAATTATGTAGCAAGTGACCTAAAGAACCATGTCAATTTATTAACTAAACCATCCATATAACATGTTTACCCCAAAGCAAACACACTGCAAAAAGTAAGGCAATGTCAGCGTAAATAAATAATGGGTATTATTTGTGAAGGAGAATACAAAGAAGTAAAAAAGAAAACTGTTAGATGCTTGCCATTGATGTCCCATGTGAGAGTTCAGTCACTGCTCTTTTCTGTGATCCATTGCTACAAAATAGCCAGAGGTACAAAAGAAAAGAAAGACATAAAACCTCAAAAGCTGAATGTCAGATGAAAGGACATTATGGAGAGGGAGAGGGAGAGAAAGGAGCAGCCGAGATGGGAATGATGACACCGTTTCATTATAAAATTGTGTTTTTTTAATAAATTATAATTATTAGTCAGATTATATGGGATTTTTGTTTTCTGCTTGTACAGTTTGGATGTTACACACTAGTCTCCATCATTAGAAACTTGAGTTAATAGACGAAAGTAGTGAATTTTGACCTGTCAAATGCTCAAGTGGAACAATAAAAATAATGCTTGTAGTTTAGAATAAACAAATATTTCACCAAAGCGGACTGCACCAAGTACTCTCAGACCAGTGTTTACTTCACTACACTTATTGCAGGGTTGCTACATTAGACGAAAATGGGACCTGACCTTCAGAACTGCACACGTGCAGGATCTTTCTGCATAAATCAATTATTAATCAGGAGAAAAAATGACCCATCATCAAGACTCAGGTTTGTTTTAATGTTCCTGAGTAGATATCCCTTCTCTCTGCTGTATGTCTGTGCCAGAGGCGGTTTATCTCAATGAGTGGCCTAGCCCCTGGTGGTGACATCTTAAAACACTCAAACAGGCAGATGACAAGAGGGATGATAAATGGCTTCAGTGTATCAGCCCGTCTGCTTGTCGCTACTCATCCTGATATACAGTCATTGCACTACATCACCCTTTTACATTTTATCTGTGAAAGATGTTTTTTGGCCTGGATGTCACCGCTAATATATCGCCCTTGATATATTAGGTACACTGTCCTCAGAGCCTGTCATGATTTAGATTTAGTCTGACCAGGGTAGATTTGTTACTTTTAATCACCTAATGAGGCCTATTGCAAATTGGCCAGAACTAAACCCTCACCACTAATTACTAGCTAACCACCCCTTCTATTGCTTTTTCAAGAATATGTGAGCAGAGTTACTATATAGCATTTAAATGATTCTTCTGAACCATCCCTTTCTCAGAACATGACTATAGAGCAACGACTCTTGATTATAATCTTAATAACAGAGAAAATTTGCAAAAATTTGGTGGAAAACAACATAAAAATCAGTTTTATCAGTAGATAAAATGTTTTAGAAAATTGCTTTGAGAAATACTAAAGCAGAACTAAAAGTGTCAATAGATGAGGACTCATCAGTGAGGTATTTACCAACCATTTTGATTATTTGAAAAATTAATTCTGCATGCTTTATATAAAAGACTTTGCTGGTGGGAAAGTTGCTTTGGAACCGACATGCCTTTATGTGAACCCCCTGTGCTATCCATTCTCAGATGTTTTCATTAGGATTTAGATCAGGGGATAACCAATAGGTCCAAAAGGGGGGCGTTGTTCTCAAGGGATTGTAGGCCTTAAAAAATGTTCTGTTGAAATTCTCAGTGATCACCGCACATGCAAATGACATCAGTTGAGAAGGCCCCAAGCTGCAGCATCTCTACATAGCAAGCTGATTTTTAACTCCTCCTGATGAACTTAAACCTCCAGTCTTCCATTGAAGTTAAAAGCAAAAGTTAAAAGGGTTTTTTTTCTAGAGAAAAAAACTGGTGACTTCAGATCATTCACGTGATGTCAGGCAT